AGACTATTATTCATGTCCCTGTGACGCGCCAGACGTCAGTGTTCCATTGTTTTCATGTTTGTATCTATTGTAGATCCTGGCTTACAGCAGTTGCAGCGGTTTCGGGAGGTTGAGGCGGGCTTGTCCCATAAAAAAAAAGTTAAACTATTCATTGAAACCTAAGTATCATATATAAAATAGCATAACATCACGCCTTTTATCCCCGAGGGGGTAGGCAGAGGTGCACATTATGCCACTGTACAATGTAACACCCACTTTTCACTATTTATGTTATGAGTCCCATGTAATTGGGGGTGAGCCTATTGCCATATACCGGGCACAATTCCAGACACCGTGCTACTACTGAGATTTTTTTTTAAAACTTAGTACTTAATGCTTTGCCCGACCCGGGAATCGAACCCGAGACCCCTTGCTCGGCAGTCGCACTTGCGACCACTCGGCCAACGAGGCAGTCAAGTATCATATATCGAAATTCAATATCTACTAACTACCTCTATAGCACAGACCATGAAAAATATTTCTCTTCATCTCATTCTATCTCTCTTAAAACTAACAAATGGTAGTGGTTGGTCTCATTACTTTTTCTGCGTGCTTAGTCGAGTGCAGTGCGCATTTAACTCGTAACCAGCAGTTAATTCATATACTGGTTCTTAGTGAACTTACTTATTGAGCTACTTTTTATATTATTTATTGTGACCACCCATAGTTAGTACATACGGCTACAAATCACACTACACATAACCAGTATAAACTGATCGTTGCATGGACGGAAAAATCGTATAATCCAAGATCATTATAAATTGGTAATGTACGGCTTGATGTGTTTTTACACTGTCCAGTTCTGTTTATTTTTGCACAAAATTGATTGGAATTGAGTACGGCTGATTGAAAAGTTGTGATTATGAGGCTTAAGGTGGAATGTTATTATGTTTAAGGACTTGTTTAGAGCTTGCTCTAGTGATACTTAATAAGTACTAAATAATTGGTACACTTCAGTAATATGTTAGTCTTGATTGTCTAGTTCAGAATTATTATTGACTTGTGGAAATACGTTATTTGATAAGCAGTTACATGAAAAGTATCTTTAAATTAAGACAACTAAGTGACACTATCAAACAATCAATACGTGAGGTATCTAATATATGTATACTTGATATGACTATGTCAAATGCTGTTTATGTCGCGGAGAACGTAACGGGTAACCGGGGCTCCGGCTTGACGTGCAGGAGAAGGAACGGGGTGGTTTTTAGTCAGTAAGAGTCTGACACTCCCTTCCGCCTCACCCAGGCGGGAGCAGTTATTCGATGATTTCCCCCCCCTTAAAAAATTGCTGTTTGTAAACCGTGAAATCTATTTCGTTTTCGTCCCACGGTAAAATAACTTGCCATAAACAGTACTTTCGACGTACCTATAAATTAAAAACAAAAACGCCTGTGATTACGCACATGAAACACTAAATTTGTGAACACTATTAGCATCGGGGGCCCAATTACCCTCCCCTTCCCCAATCTCCCCAATTCCTGAATCCCAACGATCCTCAAACCTAAAACAAACAAACGCTTCTGATGTTTCACTTGTCCATGGGCTACGCCGATTGCTTACCATCAGGTGATCCATCTGATCGTTTGCCGGTTTATGACATAAAAAAAAACGCACGTGCCACTCGACGAAATTTTTTGTTTTAAACAATTTCTTTCTTTGTAAAACTATTGTATTCCTAAGACAGAACCGTTTTACTTCGGGACAATAACAAAATAGATTTCATAGTGTACTTATTATCACCTAAAGACGCGCTGTTTCGAACGACCAGAATTAGATTGACAAAGAATTGACACAAGAAAGAGCTAGTACCTACCTAAAAATGGCAGATCTCAAAGTCAGAAAGAAGTTTAAAATGTTGACTGCTAAAATGCAACACCACTATCACCTTGGCTAAAGTTTTAGTATAAACCTGCAGTAGGCGGTTCAAGTACTAAATCATTTAACTCAAACAGCCTTGTAAATGGTTCACAAGAACAAGAAAGTTGATTCCGCACAGTAGTCTCATTACGAGGTTCTCAATTAGTGCTTGTCCCTCGACTCCGTTCATCGATCAAGATGCAATCTGCAGGAAGCCGGTAGCTGTTTATAGAGCTTTATGTATGTTGCCTAGAAAGGCTATCGGGTAGTAGCAGGTTTTCTACGCATTTAATTGTTTTGTTTTATACGCTGGTTTACAGGTAGATCGGTTGTTACTTGCGACTTTTTTTGTTAAAAAAACGTATCTCTATCTAACTCGATAAGGTATAATTTACCTTTTCCATCTGTATATCTACATTGGCGAGTATGGGACGTTCTTTTGACTGTTTTCCAGGAACATCATATTCGTTCTCGAAATCATGTTAATATACCACGAAGACATAAATATAATTGACTGCTTCATTGGCCAAGTGGTCGCCATTGCGACTGCCGGGCAAGGGGTCTCGGGTTCGATTCCCGGGTCGAGCAAAGTAGTAGCAGTAGTAGTAGTAGTGGTAGCACGGAGTTTGGAATTGTGCCCGGTATATGGCAATAGGCACACCCCCTATTACATGGGACTCATAACATAAATAGTGAAAAGTGGGTGTTACATTGTACACTGTTTTAAGTGCCGTAATGTGCACCTCTGCCTACCCCTTCGGGTAAAAAGGCTTGATGATGTTATGTTACACAAATAATTATAATTGTTCCGAGTACCAGACTTTCCTGGTACGCATATAGTAAAATTGTTGTTTCTCTTGTCTCTAACAAAGTATCATCTATTGTGTGGGCAGGTTTCGTAAGTTCAAAGGTAAATATTATGTCTGGGTCTGGTAGAGATAAGTTGTGTCTGCCTTTACCAGTAACCAACTCTCTTCATTTATTATCTCTGTTTGAGTGACTTATATTTCCGTTGGTTCTAGTTTGGACAATTTTAATCTTAAACTTACAACAAAAGTCCAATTTGCCACCAAAAATTAGGTCCATTTTTAAACTCCAGCGCCAACCACTTACAAAAAAACAACTGAACTTTAAGATAAATAAACAAAACGAAACCGGTTTTTGTAATCGGACCCACTTAACTTGCCGAAAGACTGGGATCCAAAACGTAGTCAGGCACTGATGTAATTTCGTAAAAACACCGTACAAAATCGCAAAATGATAGTCTGGTGTCTCGGGAGTCGCCATGCTTACGTGTTTTGGTGGGAACGCATATTCGACCACACGAGATTTTTTGTATATAATATGTGTTATTAGGAAATTAACGACCTAAGAGCACTTGTTTTGAAGGTATAACATTGTTTTGTATGTCCAAACTATGTTATATATACGAATATAAAGAAGATAGTGCTGTTAATGCCCTAAATTCATCTGCCACTAAAGAATATACGATCGGCTTCAAACTAAGCATAGGTTATCCTAATTGTCTATACTTGTCTTATCATAGGGATGATGACAGAGTATGAAAATTAAAAATCTAATAAGTCCGTTAGTTAGGCAATGAAAAAATATTAGATACATATTTTTTTATTTTGTCGTATAAGAAAACAATACTAAGATAAAACGAATCAAAGTTTAGGAGTGGGAGGTAGCTACGTAATTTACTACGTAAGAGTATAAATCGTACTCAATAGTGACGTCATGCGATATTTCAAATCAATATAATTATATTCGAAACTATTCGTTTCGAAAAAACCTTTCTTTGTTCTGATCAGGAAATGGATTACCAGCAAATTTGCGAAATCCACTTCAGAGAAATAACAAAGAAAAGTCCTAAGGACAGCATATGGCAATGCGGCTCCAATTTCTCTTTCTTCAATAATACTATAATCATATTTGTGGTCAACCGCTGACTCTTACAATCGAGGTTCAAACAAAAAGTACCATCAGGCTTCGGAAACAAAAACTTGAGATACGAGTGACTTCGTTTTCAATTGAAGATTGGAAGTATGACCTTTCTTTTAAATTATAGGGGCTTGCATCCGTTATTTAACGGATAATGCATTTCAAAAAATGAATAAGGATTCATTAGTTGTTTATGGTGAAGTTTTAACTTAAAATGCAGTATAAATACCTCTGTTATAAATTTACTAAAATCGCGGGTTACTCACGTGAATATACTGAGAAAAGCTCTACTAGTTTTACACGCGAGTAACCAGCGCTTTTACTCAATTTAGTATGTTTTATGATAGTTATTATAAAAACCTCTGTCATAGTTTAGAGATCGCCACCTAGTTAGCAATACTCAGCATTTTTTTCTGGGTGTTTATTAATTGTGAATCAATGATTCACTTTATTCTCGGCGTTAGAATCAATCAATTATCATCTTTATCTTGTATCTATATTGTTTACACTGATGACTTTTCGTTATCCATACTAATATGAATGAAAGTGTGTGTGTGTGTGTCTGTTTATTTGTCTGACTTCCACGGTAAAATGGAGCGGCGAATCCACGTAATTTCTAAGTGAATATAGATGAAGGGATGGAGAGTGACATAGACTACTTTTTGTATCGTTTTAACCCTTTACTTTCCTAAAATGGAAGGCGGAATTTTTGTACGGAGCATTCCGCAATTTTTAAGCTAACATTTGGTATACAAACTACTTGTGTTTATATCGTTAAATCCTTGAAAAATTGCGTGCAAATCCGCGGATCTAAAGCTAGTAACAATGTTAAGTATATAAATGAAATTCAGAGCACTATACGGTTTTAATGGAAAGTTTACAAACATTGTTACATATACCTCTAGCATCGATGCATTACGGTGATCGTAATTATGGTAATGTTGAACAATGATCACCATACACGATCGGTCGTTGAACTTGGGGGCATGATTGGGTATCTCGCCTGTGTTGTGGTTAATTTTGGAACATTTCCTTATGTTCCCATGTGTTTTGTTTCTATAATTGTTGCTGTTGCTGTGTTATAACGAATGTCTTGTATGTTGCATTTGGGTAGGTATTAAGTCACACAGGGTATATATTTAGGAATATAATAAGCGTCATTCATTCTTCATTCCTAAAGGGATACCAAACAAATTGGAAGTTTTCTAATTATATGTATTAACTTGTGGCAATTCTATTATGGACCTAATATAACTTGAACTCAGAAGTAGAAAATTTTGTATACATACCTTCATTCCACGCCGAAGTAATGTTCTCATGGTAGAAGTATTCTGTTTCCTCTTCATCAGACCACAGCACGCCTTCAATACTCGACGTAATACCCTGACCCTCTGGACCTTCTACTAAAGACCTACGAGACAGCTGATCATAGCTAGGAGGTCTAGATAACGAGTACCCAGAAATATCAGCCAATGACGACCGAAAATTTTTGTAACTACGGCTATCTATTGGTCGATAGCTTCGAACTGATCGGGCATCTTCGGACTTTACCGAACGAAGGGATCGGCAATCGTAACTTGGCCCTTCACTTGAACTAAGATCTCCTAAGGATACTTTGAAATTGTTAGACGAAATGTCTCCTAAAGGAACTTCGCATGATCGACGTTTCATGCTGGTTTTCTGCGATGGGGTCTCCCCCGTCGCTTGCATGTGCCGGCTAACGCCAGCGCTATGCAAGAATTCATTAGAATTGTACATTTTATTCTACACTAAACTACTAGGAACTTGATCTGACTAATTTTGAGGAATTATTCGTTCGTTTGTCGAGGGCAATCTGGAACAAAGAAAATCATCTTGTTAAAATTGGGTTCTAGAGAGAAATGCGTTTATTACGTACACAGTATAATTTGATAGGGATATAAAATACACTTTACGTTTAAATTATTACACAAACTTACAAAAAAACTAAACTAAGAGTTAAATACTAATTTATAGTTCAGCGCCATCTATAAAAAAATACCCGAACTTGTAAAGGCGCCATCATACGAAACAGACATAAACTACAAACATTGCTTGCTCTATCAAGCGTATCGTACGCTACACACTCAAAAGACCGTATCAGTTTCTGTTTTTAGTAACAGATGGCGCTGTTAAAAAATATTGTTATTTGAAATCTTTGAATCCTATTAACTCTTGGTATAAAAATGTTAAGTTATATCATTTGTACATTACAATAAGTATTGTTAGTATAAAAATGGTTTTAATTAATGTTTAGTATTTTAACTTAATAATTCTGTGTATATACCTACGTATTCTAATAAAACAAGGAAACTTCTTCAGCATTAATTACATCAATTAAACAAGAATTGAGTTCGTGCTCTACACAAAACCACATCTTCATACAAAAGATAAAAGTCATAGAGATTACTCTGAAAGATGTTATTTATGAAAGTAAAGCAGCTGTGTTTTACCAACATTTTAGTGAAAAAAAAAAAGGATCATAACTTGAGCTATTACTTATAAAGATGACAGACATCTGTACCAGGTGTCATATTGGGAGACTGGGATAAAAATAGTCCACACACCCTCTATATGTAAGCCCCTAAGATAAATAAACTACCCACGTACCACCTTCTTATTAATTCTCTTGTTTCTTTCCAGAGGTCTTTGAACCTTTGGTACGTGTGCTATTGGTAAAAAGTTGGGAATAGGGATGCGACTTTTTAGGCGAGATCAATATTATTATAAAAAAAAACAATATGCATTTATATTTTTTACTGCCTTTTTGATCGAGTATTCGCAAGTGCGACTGCGGGCAAGAGGTCTCGGGTTCGATTCCCGGGTCGGGCATAATATTACTGGGTCTTTTTCCAAAAATCTCAATAGTAGCACCGAGTCTGGAATTGTGTAATCTGGTATATGGTAACTCACCCCCTATTAGGTACATGGGACTCATAACATAAATAGGTAGTGAAAACTGGGTGTAACATTGTACAGTGGTATTAAGAACCATAATGTGCACCTCTGCTTACCCCTTCGGGGATTAAAGGCATGACGTCATGTTGTATGTGTATTTTTGACTTCGAACTATCATACCATCATGTAAAAGTCTATAGTTAGCATTACTAAAATATCAAATTGGTAATGATTTACCGCAAATTGTTTATAATAATGATCTTTAAGAACTCTAAATAAATGCTATTAAGGTGCATAATGCCATCAGACCATCACGGATGGGGCCCAATAGGGCTGATGCCGATACGGAGCAGCGGAGGACTTTACGGGTCGCTGGGGCTCTGGAGACTTGAAGTGCAATAGTAGGAACGGGGTGGCTTTTTGTCAGTAAGAGTCTGACATTCCCTCTCGCCTCACCCGGGCGAGATAAATCATTGGATGATTTTCCCCCCTCAAAAAAAAAGGTCTTACACAATATGCATTAATTATCACACTCAATTAATCACATTTTCATTCAACAATGAACCTGTTTTATCAAAAAACAGTTTGGCAACACCCCTACACAAAATCATCAACACAGAAATCATAACACAAACTTACTAATCAAGAGCTCAACAGAACTATAGTCTTACATCAAATTCAGTACTTAAAGACAAGCTCGTAAAATGCTAGGCTTAAGGCATAAAATCCAAATCTCGGAGTACCTTCAAGAGATAGCGACGAAATTCTAATTTAACCTTCGTACCTATAACTTGGAGTTGATGTGTGTTTAATTTGTACGAGCACACGGCACCAGTATGGATCCAGATAAATGGGGTTATCCAAATCTTTTGTTCATAGTTAACACGTGCCGAAGCCACTCACACGACCGCAGTAGTGTTGGGGGGTCTGTCGATAACGTCGATGTTAAACATATTCATTCATTTGATTATACTTTCATATAATTTTCATGACATGTGTATGAAATATTTCCGTTAAGGATCTTTTCTAGTAAGTGTAGGCGTTGTTGATACACTATGAATCCTCGTTAAGTACTGATTATGGTATGATTAGGATTTACAGTAGTAAAAATCACTTAACTGTGTTAGTATTAAAGTTGATAGATAGATTACAACTGTATCAAAATTCAATGCAATCGCAAGTGCGAATCCTGGACAAGGGGTCTCGGGTTCGATCAGGCAAAGTATTACTGAATTTTAAAAAAATCTCAGTAGTAGCACAGGGTCTGGAATTATGCCCGGTATGTAATAGAGACACACACCATAAAAAAGTGAAAGGTGGGTGTTGCATTGTAGGTACAGTGGCATTAAGTGCAATAATGTGCACGTTTGCCTATCCCTTCGGGGATAAAAGGCGTGATGTTATGAAATGATATGTGATGATAATCTTTAAAATAAAATAATAGGAAAATGATTAATAATTATTATTGATCATTTTGAGTGAATGAATGAATGAATGTCATTTATTTCTCAGTACATGGTGCACACAGATTTTAAAATTAACGAACTTACTAATTCTCACCTAATAAAAATTCAAATCAAAGATATCGGTTACTCTATCGATAACACATCTCACATCACTATCTTTGATTAATTATACAAGGGCTAGACTGCGGGTTCTAATGAAACTGGTGTCGATCGCTCTCCCAGCGCACCACCTTTGGATCCACAATCGATTTCAACTATTTCTTGCACAAATATTGTTACCGTTTTTGTCTGGTGCAAATTGTGTAGAATATTGTTTAAGACAATCACTAACCAATTTATATCACAGACTAACCCAACATGGGTTAGTCTGTGATATAAATTGGTTTATAAATAGAGGTTTTAGTTTCAATATATGTATATATAATAATAATGTGTGTAGATTATTCATCTTATGGGGCTCAAGTGAAAAATTAGATGATGCTTGATAGATAAGACACATTATAATTTGTTTGAAGTCTTTTATTTCATACAGGCTTTCTGCCCACCCAGCATAAACATAACAATATGAAAATAATAAGAAGTGGGTGTCATCATAAGCCTACACCTCTGCTAACTCCGACAGGCAAACGTGTTATATGAAATGACGTTGTATATTTGGGTACACAATGGAGCAATAAAAAGCCCTTTTTTTACAATAAAAGAACATATAATTAAAATAGGGTGTTAACAGTGGAGCGGACGCTGAGAGAATGAATGGCTACCCTTCTAGCAATTTTAACATGCTCCGCGACGCCTGATTGTTAAACTGGCAATCATACATGTAGTTGTGGTTTGCTATTGGAAAGGCGCTAGGCGCCGCAACATCATCCCGCCCGTTGAAAGAATCCTTTCAACGATCCTGCAGTTCATCAGCGTTGGGTAGAGGGCAAAGACGAGTTAGAGACCGCCGAACGCAGCCCTTCATTGTTTGGATATCAGCAACCCTGGCTATTCCGTCTGGACCAGGTATCAGCCGCAGAACTCGACCCAGTCGCCAGCATAATGGCGGCGTGTTGTCTTCGGATATGAGAACCATGTCTCCTATATGTAGCTGTGCAGTATTGCTTTTCCATTTAGTTCTCTGCTGCAGTTCCGATATGTATTCCTTTTGCCATCTTCTCCAAAAGTGGTGTCTTATCGATTCGAGATGGTCGTATCGTTTCCTCTGGCTGTCATGATTGTCCGCCAATGCAAGTGGTGGCAGTGCCGTCAGTGGTCTCCCGATGATGAAGTGCCCTGGAGAAAGGGAGAGGAGGTCGTTAGGAGAGGATGACAAGGGACACAAGGGACGACTGTTAAGAATCGCCTCCACTTGCGCAAATAATGTCGAAATCTCTTCGAACGTTAAATGACTATTGCCCATCACTCGACGTAGGTGATGTTTAGCGGATTTAACTCCGGCTTCCCAAATTCCGCCGAAATGAGGAGCGTAAGCTGGTGTGAATTTAAATTTGATTCCCTGCTGACTTGCAAAGTCAAATAGTGGCTCTTTATTTTGTTGAATAAAGCTCCCTACTTCTTTCGCGGCGGCTACGAAGTTGCGGCCGTTGTCGCTAAACACTTCCAATGGCTTGCCTCTGCGCGCGATAAATCGTCTGAGGGTCATGATAAACGCGTCTTTAGTTAAATCGCTAACTGCTTCGAAGTGGACACATTTATAGCGCAAACACACGAAAATACACAAATAGCATTTAATTAAGCGACTTCCGCGGCCCTTGCGATTTAGAACAAAAAAGGGGCCAGCAAAATCTAGACCTACAGATAAGAATGGAAAGTCCGGATTCACACGTTGTGACGGCAATTCACCCATTTTTGGGCATAAAAGTTTGCCTCTTAATCTTCTACACCGCACACAGTTGTTTACTGTGCGTCTCGCCAAAAGTCTGCCACCCACTGGCCATACCACTTCCCTTACTGTGGCTAGCAGAAGCTGGGGGCCAGCATGCATGGCGTTTATGTGCTCCTTTTCAAAGTACAATTTTGTAAGCCTATGCCTAGCATGCAACAATATAGGATGTTTCTTTTCATACGAGTAGATTGAGGCATCCAGGCGTCCACCTACCCGCATTAAATTTTCGGCAAGAAAGGGGGAAAGGGCCAAAATTTTGCTTTTTGTTGGCAGTGCTTTCCCTTTTGACAATATATCATATTCTTTACTGAATGACTCACGTTGAGCTATAATACAAAGTGAATGAAACGAATCACGCAGCTCATCCGTTGATAAGATACCTAATCGTTTATCTTCAGAATGTTTTAAATTGTGTATAAATCTTTTAACGAATGCTAGTACCCTTTGCAGCTTTGTAAATGATGAATAATTGTCGAATATTATTATAG